ATCCTCCACGCTCAAGTGGTGTTGCCAGCTGTCTCCTGACTTTCATCCCACATTTTACAGTGCTAGATTTCTGCCTTTTATTTTCTTAGCCTGATGATTATTTGGGTTAGACTTTCAGAGCAAGAATTTAGTGGAGTTCACGTAGGTTGTTTCAGCCTGGCTGTGAAATGCGAAAGGGCTCTACTGTTACGAACCAACTGTGTGATCCAGTGAGGCTGGTCATGGATAAACCGCACGTAGGACTGCTGAGGCTGTATAGGAGGAAAGAAATACAGAGCTGAGCTTTGGTTATGAAGGGCCCCAGCTAAAGGATATAAAAACATCTTCAGACTGTAGCGAGCTGTGTCTGTGTGCGCCGTTGTAAGTTGTTAGGTCTGTCTGCAGGTTGCTTCAGCCATGGAGAAGTGGAAGACAGCAATCCGTGAGGCCCAGACCTTCTCCCGTATGCACGTGCTGCTCGGGATGCTGGATGCCTGTATCAAGTGGGATATGTCGGCAGAGAATGCCAGATGCAAAGTGTGTCGCAAGAAAGGTAGGCATTCCACGTGAAAGGCGGACGCTGTCGCCTCTCCGTGCCCTGCTTAGGCAACATGCCCTCGTAGTCTTGTCACTCTGTCTCTGGCTGTATTTTGAGTTTTGAACGTCGGGATTTACACTCAGAAGCGTTGATCTCGCAGAAGCGTTTGACCCCGACTCCAGTAAACCCCTCTTACAAAACCAGTACACAGTCTTGCAGAACATTGCAGAGCTGCTGTCCCCTGGATGCTTAGGGTACTCGGACACAAGTCATCTACAAATCCTTCTGGGAACACTTGTGCCCCTGTCCATTCCCTGGTTTCAGTTTTGGGCTGGAATGGTCTTTGGGTCTCTGAGCCTTGTCAGTTAGTCCCATCATTTACCGAAGGAAGGAGCAAGGAAGGGCTGGGAAGGTTACTGTCCTTTGTAGTGGAGTGGGAGAGCGCGAGGTGGGACGATGCTACTTTGAGGCGAAGGTGGGAGCAGAACTGCTTGGTGAGCTGGAAGCCTTACCAGCTGGCAAGGCCGGGGAAGTTACCAGATAGGTGACGAGGAGCTGCCTTCTCTGCGTGTGCTACAGGATGAAGGGCTTTAGAGTCTTGCAGGTGGAGGGGGAAGGAGAAGGGGCGTCACCAGTGACAGCGCGCTGGTATTTGTTCTGCCATAACCTCTCCTTTTGGACGGAAGCCTGGAGGAAAGAGCTTGGTAGTACATTCTGCCTCGTCATGTGCTTTTTGTCTCACTTTTGTATTTGCTGAAACACTAGTGGGAAATGAGGGCAGACAGACCTCTGGGGGAATGCTAGGCCACTTTTGTTTACCGAAAGGCTATGCCATCCACCTCTTCAAAGAAGTAAGGGCTGAATTGGTGCAACATCCTCCTTCACTGTGGAGCCTCAGGGATATTCCAAACCAGTGCAAAAACTGTCCTGTCTGCTGTGGAGAGGGGATTCTAGGCAGGTGTAAGAGGGGGCTCACCTGAGACTAGCAGATTGTAGTTTCACAGAATCCAAGAACTGGGATGTTAGAGAAAGAGACATGTTGGCAAGCTCTCTGCACTTTCTTTTTTTCCTCTTCAGTAAATGAAATAGTTGGCTCAGGACTGCCTCCCCCTTTCCCTGCATCAGTGAGAAGCACAGAGAGACTAGTTCTGCATGCTGATTTTCTTGGTCGTCTTGCTACCTTAAGTAGAAAGAAGATGCTGTGCAGGTTGACCAGATTGAGGCTAGAATAAGAATAGCTGCGTTTATAGCTTGTTGCTAGGCTCTTGGGCATTTTTGCAGCAAATCT